AAACATGGGGTTCAGGGGGCAATTCTATAAACTGTGCTGACCCCCACATGCTTTTGTTTTAAAAGCAATTTACATGAAGCTCTGGCTGGTATTACCTTAAATTTTATACACTACTTAGGTCCTGATTATAGTTGGCAATTTGGATTCAGCCTTTTAAGGGTAAGGAGATCAATTTTCTAGCTCTTAGGAATTTTTAAAATTTCCCAGCTTATCTCAAATGATGACTTGTAAGAACAATCAGTGTACACATGAGCTGTTTATTTGTCACTGGTAGGAAGCCCAGAACATTTTAGTAGCTTATTAGCTTGATTAAACTTCATCCTGACTAATAATTGACTGTATGTGAAGGGAAGATATAAAAAAACATCCTGTTCTTGAGATGTTTAAAATATTCTCAAATGAATTATGATATCTACTCCCTCTCTGACATGTTGGGGCAAGTCTGTGAGTCTACATCCTCATTCCAGAAATAAAGATTTTAGGCAATAGTTTTTGGCTTTCATGCTTTTCTTGCATGCTCAAAATACCCCTTAATATCCAAAACATTTGAGATACTACCTCTATTTTAGTTTTAATTTCAGTATCTGCTGACTGAATACACAGTGGTAAATGAACTCAGTTAAAATTTAAATCCATATTTAATTTAGTCCTAAGAGCAGTGATGTTATTGATACTAGCAATTCTAGTCCTGTATACATAATGAGACACACATAATCCTTGCAGACCAGATTAGGCTGCTTACTCTTTTATAAAAGGCAAGTGATATAAAAAGAAAAAATGTATTTTATGCACTTTGATCAAACTGTGGAGAAGTAGCTATATTGCTTTTCTGCTGGTGCCAAAAAGAGGTTAACAGTTATAGAAAAGATAGGTAAACAATATAAGTATAACTAGGCTGTGTTTAACCAGAGAATATGTCAGTTTTAATTTTCTTGACATCTATCTTCAGCCTGTGTGACTTTTTATTCTCATGTGAAACCAGGAGCTCTCTATTTCAGAAAGACTGGGGTTTAGATCCAGTGATGTAAAGCTTCTGGTAAATTCTAACTCAAGTATTCAGCTTGATCTTAGCCTATTCCTCTTGTTTTCCCCTTGTATCTCCTGATTCTACAAATTTCTAATCACCAATCACCCCTCTCTGCTGTCGGTCATCTTGTTACAGTACCAGATTGGTGAGGCCAACCTTGGGAAAGGAAAAGAGAATGGGTGATGATGACGGATAACAGATATGAGTGGTGAAAACATGGGGTTCAAGGGGCAATTCTATAAACTGTGCTGACCCCCACGTGCTTTCTTTTTAAAAGCATTTTATCTGAAGCTCTGTCTGGCCTAAGATTCATCAGTAAACAACATTTTACCTGCTGGAGAAATGCAGGGCCAAAGACTCCTTCCTGCTAATAAAAAGAACACAAGTTCTCTGAAGGAGGGATGTTGTGACTTTTATACAGGGCAGATTCCAGGACTCAATGAGACAGAATAATGGAATATTACACAGCCATAAAGCAGAATGAAATTTTGGCATTTGCAGGTAAATGGATGGAACTGGAGAATATCATACTAAGTTAAATAAGCCAATCTCCCCAAACCCAAGGCCAAATGTTTTCTCTGATATGTGTATGCTAATCCACAACAAGGGAGAATGGGGAAGGGAAGAATTGAAATCCATTGATTAGACAATGGAGAATGAAGGGAAGGGAGTAGTGAGGGAAATATCAAGGACAGTAGAATTAATGAGACCTAGTTTCTTAGCCTTTTATTTGACTACACGACGAGGGTAACTCCACATCATGTTCAACTTCAAGCATAGGATCCTAATTAGAATAAGTTATAGTCCCTGGATGTATAATATGCCAAAGTACATTCTTTGCTATGTTTATATATAAAAAAAAAACAAATAAATTTTAAAAAATAAAATGTGATCTTAAATGATACTTCTTAAATAAAAAGAGAGAGAGACAGAAAAATTAAAAGCAAAGCACACTATCAATAAAATTTGTAAGAACAAGTTCTAATTAAAACTGGTCAGCATGGGCCAAAGTGACTCAGAGTTGCTTTGAATTTTTAACATATTGTTATAATATTAAAATGTCCCCTCATGGCAAAAGACCATTTGCAGTGGTGACTTGATAGTCTAATGCAATCCTTCTATCAGTAAGAAGTCAAGAGGTGGACCTGGTGTAACTCTGGAAACTTCCCTGGATCCCCAATAAAACTAGAGGTCAGGAGGGCTGCACCTTCCCTCTCTTCTTTGAGAAGATCCATGGTCTCCTTTTTCCTGTCTCTTCTAATAAACTCATGCCTGAGCTACTCTGAGCAATTCCTCTGAAATCTTTCCAGCATGATCACAAAGAACAAGTAACCAAAGACATCTAGAGGAATTTTGGCTCCACAGATGGCCTTGATCTCTAACAATGACTTTCCCTGGGGGTTTCATAAAAAGAGTGAAAAGAGGTGGGATTTGAGTTTGTTGAAGATCTTTCCTATTCCCAGAAAATATATGGATATTCCTCATTTTTAGTAACTTGTCCCCCTTCCTCATTATTTGTATCCTATATTTGTAACCTCTAGAGTCGAGAAACTGTTTTGTGAGTAAATATTCCCCTTCTTCATTTTTTGAACTCTGAATAAAACCATCTCTTAAACATTGATTTTCCATGGGATGAGCTTCCATACCTAGGAAGAAAAACACTACAATAATCTATCATCCCTAGAGAAGTTCATCTAATTCTTAAGGAGAATGCTCCTGACTTCTTGCTAGTGACTATAGTAGTTGTGGTTCATTGTGTTCATAGTAGTTGTGGTCCATTAGACTTTTATTCTATATGGATCTTTGAGGATTAGGGTGTGAGGAGATCCAAAGGGCTGAAATAACTAGATATTATGATATTAAGTGAAAATTCAATTTTCAAATGCAGTTAATTTTCAAATACAAACATAATTTTTAGAAATTGTGGTTTTGCAATAAAAAGCTAAAGGAGATATTTCTGTTAATATTATTCTTTTATTTACTTTAAGCAGAGGAGACAGGCTAGAGCAAAGAGAAAGGTAGGGCAAAAGTTCGTACTCTATGACTGAACTTGAAGACCATTTTAATGCTAAATGGAATCATAATCTAAATACTGGCATACATGCTTAAGAATCTTTGGGACTTTTCTAGGAAAGGCCTAAGGGTGGGAATTCCTGGAAAGGTTATAGGTATTGAAATTGTTCTTGTTTTGTCTTCTTTTTTTTTTCTTTATCTACCATTGCTATTGGAAATTTGGAATACAAAAATAGGAAACTCACTTCAGGAATGAAGATGTTATGTTTTGATTAAAAATAATGTTAATTATCTTTAGAGATCGGATTTAATTCTTTGGATGAATGTCTTTTGTTTTGCTTGAAGAAATGGATTGATTTAGCTAATAGAAGGCAGTAGGAGCATTTTCTTTTAGATTTTTCCCACACTTTCTAATTTTGCACATTTAATATTTTCAAACTGAAGTACACACCATTTTTGTTACCAGTACTGCAGGTTCCTGTGTTCCCCCAAAGTCAAATCAGGCAGGAATACTATTTGGCAGGAACAAGGCTTTGATTCTTAATCTCTAATATAGGGAAGGCAGCAGGTGGGAATGGGATTAACAGTCATTCAATAAGAAAGAGAAATACACAGTTTGTTGTTGTTGTTGTTGTTGTTTTGTGTGTGTGTGTGTGTGTGTGTGTTTAATTGCATATACAGGCAGGCAGAAACTCAGTGATGTCATTTCATATAGAGATGCAGTCTTAGAGCCCACCTGGGCTCTTTTCATCATAGAAGAAGTAGTCTTTATGGGCTACCTGTCTCATTATCATATTAGGTCTCTGTTCTGTGATATAATTTTAATATGCTAGTAAAGAAAGGGTTATCGTGGTTTATTCCAGTGACTAGTTTCCACATGCCTTTCTCCTCTATAGTTTGGGAAAGCCCTTAGTACTGTGTTAGAGGAAAGTACAATATTAATATGTATGCCTGTGCATCACTGATAGTTAGCTTTATAACTTTGCTTTTCTCAATCTTCTGTTTCCTGATGTTTGCTGACCCCATAGTCTTAAGGACTGAGTGTGCTACCTCACTTTCCTACTCATTTCTTTTTTAGAATTTTGTTATTTTTGAAAAAAAAATTAGGGGCAGAGAGAAATTTCTTCATGGATGACATTGGCTTTTCAAAAACAAAGCTAGGTTTGTTGCAGGTAACATTTCAAACCTCTTGCACAAGACCAGTTTGCATTAATGTCTTACTCTAATTAAATATTTTAATGGGCCTTTGCAACTTATTTAGTGAAATGTTTTAAATCTACTTTATGAATGTAATATTCATTTTTTGCTTTAAAGTATAGAGCTTCTTAACTATTGGCTTGGTTTACTTAATAATTTTCATAGTTAATTTAAAATTTTGCTAGAATTTAAATGACCATTAAGGAAATGATTTGCCATTGTGAAAAATTATGATAAAGTTGACTTTCTCAGATGATTGAAGTTGCATAACAACCAGATATATAAAGTCTAGAATTATAAATTCAGAGAGGTTTCTTCTGTGCTTGACTGCTTGACTAAGTTTTTATTCATAATAACAATGTTATAAGTTAAAAAAATGTGGCACATGATGATGGTGTAGGCTATCCCTCAATGTATGTTGTGTCATACTATGTTTTCAAGTACTATGCCAGGCACATAAAATGCTCACCTGTCTTTTCCCTCCATTATGAGTTTTGGGTACTCTTTAATTATCTGGAAATTATTTGGCATCTAATTTTGAGTGTTTCATCTAATTGAGGATTCAAAGGTGTTTTTCCTCCCATTATGGATTCAAAGATTGTTCTCATCATAGTGATGTGGGCTGACAATTAGAAAGTAATCTAGTGCAGCACAGTTTAAAACAGACTTGATTTAAATATATTAGCAAGGGTTTACAATCACATTTATATGGACTATCAACTTACATTGTTTCCACCTCTACAGAAAGGCAGAATATGTCAAGATGTCTTCCAGTAATGACCAGGATTATATCCCATTTTTACAAAGAAACAACAGTGACCTCCCTGAGATGACCTCCAGTGACCTGAAGACATTTCCTGAAGGGGCTGTGTTAAGTTTCCATAACATCTGCTATCAGGAAAAAGTGAAGAGTGGCTTTCTATTTGTAGGAAAACAGTTGAGAAAAAATTACTATCAAATATCAAGTATGTATATGTACTTTTTTAAAGATCACTTTAATGACCTATCACAGGCTTTACAGGCTTTGCCTAATACCAATAATTTACTGTGAGCATTTGTGTTTCAGTCTTTGTGCTGGTGTATAGACACATGCTTTCATCCCTTTTGACTAATCTAGGAGTAAAATGATTCCATTTAATGAATTAAAATTGACTCATGAAAATTGACTCATTAAAATTGACTTGTGAAATGCTGACAAGATTTTTTGTAGAAAGTAATGTGATTGCCCACATACAATTTGAATAGATGTTCAAACATATTGTGGGAATGTATATTTACCTTGCCCTTCACTTTATCCCTCCCACCCTTTTTTTTTTATTTGTTGGAGCATGGAGGAGTGTGGATTACAGACTTTACCCAGGGCTTTGTGCTCCCTGGGTCATCATTCTCCCCCAGAGCTACACTCCCAATTCCTCTTGCTTATCTTTTTTTTTTACCTGGTAGACTACTGACTCTCCTCTATTCAAGAGTTCACACTGAGTTTATGGCTTAGTGGTATGCATCTCTACAAAGGAGGAGGCCTTTGTTTTGTGCTTTGTTAGGCTTATAAAATGTAGTAAGTCTTGAAGTTTTTATTTTTTTTTTACTGTTACAAACATAGCAAACATTGGTTTTCATGCTTATTCACATTTCTGGTTTTTTATTCATGAGAAGGTCATATTTTTCTGGCTGCAGTGTTTCCAAACTTTCTCCTATCTGCTGGACTCAAATAGTCTCTGGTGTGTGAAGGGTCACTCTCATTATCTTATTTTTTGTTTGTTTGTGTTGGATAGCACTATCATTATTGAAAATGATGACAATATTTCAAGAAAATTCATGAGAATCTTGGTTTTTCTTTGGATTTTTGCTTTTATGTTCATTGTTTAAGAAGACAATAAGGCAAAAATTGATCATGAGAATTCCTTAATTTTCCCTACTTTCTTAGAATTTTATTTTGCTTAGTTTTTATCCATATGTAGCATTTGAGCTTTCTCTTACCAATGCTAAAATTATTAAAAAAAGGGGGCTGAGTATATAGCTCAATGTTAGAGTGCTTGCCTTGCATGCATGAGACACTGGGATCAATTCTCAGCACTAAATATAAATCAGTAAAGAATAAAGGTCCATTGACAACTAAAAATATTATGAAAAAAATTCTCCATTCCAGCAGATGTGTGGATGTCCTATAATTGTGAGGAAAATTCTTCACCCTGTTTGAGAGATTGGTCTGGTTATCTATTTTGAAATAATTTGAGATGTAAAGCTGCATGTGCATAACCCTTTCACCAGATTTCTTAACTGTCCACACTGCACTGTTTGCTCCCATCACTGTGTCTCATTTGTGTCCATAGTTACTACTTGTTTTTGGTAGTCACTTGAGAGCACACTATCCACATAATACACCTTTATCACTACTAAAAAGAAGTAGTTCTTTTAGTACTACTTTCTAGAAAGATGATTCCTGTCCTGTATAATCACTCAATTGTTTTCTGGAAGCAACCAAGAAATGATGTATCCTCAGAGTGAAGGCAGGAGAGGTCCTCAGGATCACTCTTCACTGTGTTCCTCATATAAGTGACTAACCACCACATCGTGTCTCTGCAGTCTTGTCCAACCTGGTACTTTCTAGTCCCATCCCACTCCAGGTGATGTTAAAACTGAACACCTGGTTATGTTGCTGTCCATCAAACTTCATCATCAGATCACCATTTTCCTCTTTGGACTTGATTAATATGAATGGTGATACTCTGATATTACTCCAGAATCTTGTTCTTCATTAAACTTGAGTTTCATTCCACTGTTGTGATGCCTGTGTGGATCAGCAACCACTATGATAGTTGATAAAGGGTGAGTTTCTATTTTCATTGTCTCATAATTTGCATTCCAGTAATAGAAAAATCTTCATTCATCATTTCTCCTTTCAGTTACTGTATAGACTCATGGATTATATTTTTTTTAATTTCCTTTACTGGGGACTGAACTAAGAGTTACTATACCACTAAGCTACTTCCCCAGTCCTTTTATATTTTGATTTGAGACAGTATCTTGCTAAGTTTTCCAGGCTGCCTTCGAACTTGCAATCCTCCTGCATCTGCATAAGGAGTCTTTAGATTACAGGAGTGCATCACAGTGTCTAGTATGGATTTGTACTCTATACAAAAACACTTAATTGTAATGCTTCATTAGTATTATTTATCTTCATACTCCTATTGCTGCTGATTTAGTCAGTAGGAAATTTTTCAAGATAGGTTCCTTTTTTTATTTTTTTAACTCATCCCACCACTCTTAATTCTTTGGCATAGCAAGAAGTTCCAAATTTATTGTATACTTGCCTTCCCAGTCCTGGAATCCTCCAGTGTTTATTTTTGTGAAGAATGGTATTGAGAAAACACCATCTGGGTGATTTGAATACTCATTGCTATTCGTGTGTCATTGCTCTGTGCCTTCTAAATGGACAGACCTAGGGAATATATGTATGCAGGTACCTACACACATTGAATATGTGTATTGCATTTGGTAGTATAGCCATTTGGACAATATTAATTATGCCTATCCAAGAATATGGGATGTCTTTCTATTTTCTAAGTTCTTCAGTTTATTTATTCAACATTCTATAGTTATCATTGTAGAGGTCTTTCCCCTCCTTGGTTAATTTAATTCCAAGTACTTTATTTTATTTTTGAGGTTATTGTAAATGGAATAGTTATCCAAAAAGGATCATGGTTTAAAGAATAATTGAAAGGAATTTAGAGGGACCTGATCCATCTTTCTTATAAATATTGACTAATAATAACATCCTTTGTAGACTAGACTTCTGTTAACCATTAAGTTTAGTTTCTTTGATTTGGTGCTTGATTTCTGTCTGCAATTTTTTCAGTCTTCCTTGAGTGTATCATTGCAGAGTCTAAGTAAATAGTACTGCATCTAAAGTAGAACAATAAATCATCATGCTTTGTGTTTACAGTGGAATCATGAAACCTGGTCTCAATGCTATTCTGGCACACCAAAGTCGAGGGAAATCTTTGTGAGTATAACAGAAAATATGTCTCAACCGCTTCTGTGTAGTTGTTGTGTGATTTTTAAAGATGACTTTTTAAAGCTTTACTAGGGCATAACTAAATAATTGATATGGTGATGTTGGCCATATTAGAAGTGAATGGAGAGGGGAGAAAGGGAATAATGATAAAAGTGGGAAGATGGAGCTGAAGGAATAATTGAAGACAAGATTTTTTTTTTTTTTTTTTTTTTTTTTTTTGGTAAAGAAGCACATTGCCTGAGCTGGATCCACCAAATTCAGACAGCTAGAAGCTCATTTGGGAAGACTGTGCTGGATCAGCCAACATGGCTTTGCTTATATACTTTTGGGTTTTCTTGTAACAACGACAACAGTAACAACAAAAAAGATGATGATAATTTAAACATACACATGCACATATAAATAATTTTAGTTAAACCTCAGATTTCTGGAGTAGTAAATTTTCTAACTTTAGCAGAATATGAGAGATATGGCCTATAATGGAGGAGAGAAATCTGTAACATACATGTCCTTTTATAGGTTGCTAAATATCTTAGCTGCAAGGAAAGATGCATCTGGATTATCTGGAGATGTTTTGATCAATGGAGAACCTCAATCTGATAATTTCAAATGTAATTTGGGTTATGTGGTTCAGGTAAGAATTTGTAGATTTGCCTTTTTTGTTTCATCTGTATGAGAATACTCTTTACTTACAGCTTATTGTGCTTCTAGTTGTTTATGTGACATGCTCACATAACCAATATTCATTCCACCAGCTTTCATAATCTTCCATCTCAGAGTTAAATGTAAAAGCAATGAGGACTTGGAAAATGACCCTGTTGGACAATGGTATCAATTCTGGCTTGTGTATAATTTACAAAAGGGTCCACAGTTATCCTTTTTACCCTTCTAGCATTTTTTCCTTCCCCTAGAAGATGTGTTTGCAAGTCCTTGTACAAAGCAACATGGCTATATCTGGTTCTAGTGGGCATGATTACCTGGGCTCAAACCTGGCATGCAGATTGAGAATGAAAATGACTTCCTTGGACTCTGCAGCTATCTTTATGTGGGTCACTGCAATTGGTATAGTTGAAAGTTTACTATTAGCTTGAACTTTACTTTGGTTATGCTATTTTTATAGATAATGGATTAAGTTACATATACTGAAATATAACTGAGGAGATTAAAATGAGACAGAAGAAGACACATGTACAGGGAAAATTACACTCAACTTAGAAGATTAGTGAAACAAAGTCCCAGAGAGGAGTCAGTCCAGCCTGGAGCAGATTTATGATTAAGCATTTAAAATCATTACAGAGTAAAGAAACAAGTATGAAATAGGGAAAACTGAATGGAAATCAAATGGTATTAAATATTATCACTAACAAATTTTAGGTATGATAATCATATTGTGGTTATGTTTTATATACATATAGAAGTATGTACTATGATGTCTAGAATTTTCTTCAAATTATAGATGAGACAACACTGATCATGAGTTTATAATTACTGAAATTGAATTTTGAAGATGTGGAGTTTATTATATTATTCTGTCTATTTTTGAATATGTTTAGCAATTTCCTAATGGAAAGTGAAAATAAAACATTTTTTGATAAAAGGAAAATGTTGATTTCTAACTTCAAAAAATAACAAAAAAAATTGTGTTTAGGATAATACTGTGATGGGCACCCTGACAGTGAGAGAAAACTTACAGTTCTCAGAGGCTCCTCCGCTTCCAACAGCTATGACAAATCATGAAAAAAATGATAGGATCAACAAAGTCATTGAAGATTTAAACCTGGATAAAGTAGCAGATTCCAAGGTAGTGTGAAAAAACCTGATAGTATCATAACCATGAAAGATGACCTTCTGTGTAGATGCTGTGACCTAAATGTGAGTTCCCCAAAATGTGTGGGGTCAAAAGTGGCTGCTTTCTGTAATGATGAGAACAATGACTACTTACAAACTATGAAGGTGGAAATTAAGTGGAAAAATACTCTTAATAATGGTTGTATCCTAGGAATGGAGTGTGGTCTGGTGTGGGGAGTGTTCCTCACAGGACCCTTTCCACCCTCATTGTTAAGTCATGGCTCATTTGATGTCTTTAAACTAACCCTTCTTCTTCCTCTTTCTCTTCCTGCTATTAACTCCTGTTTTTCTCTCCCTTAATTCAAAGTCTGGGAAGACTATCCAGGAATCTTCATAGTAGATTCCAGACTGTTCATTCACAATCCTTTAAGACATACTAGTGTTTTTAATAAAAATATTGAATTTCATTTCCCCAGTAATCATGTAGATAATATAAAATGAGATGAGAACTCCGTAAGAGAAAATCAAATTGAAATGGGAACAAATGGTCTAATACCAAGAATAAAATATTTTACCAAGAAGATCATGGTTCAGATGTTTAATGATTCATTGTTTTCCCTTTTAACTTAGGATTTCTCAGCAGGGACGAATGGTTATCTTCTCTATCCATAGACCTCACTATTTCATCTTCAAGCTGTTTGACAGCCTCGCCATCTTGGCTTCACGAAAATTAATGTACCATGGTCCTGCACAGAAGGCTTTGGAATACTTCTCATCAGCGGGTGTAGTAGACTTTTTGCATGTACTTGATCCTTCATTAATCCTATGTTGGGAGAGAGCAGAGGAGTCCATAGGAGTGCTGTTTGATAATATAGAGGTACCTGGGATTCCACCACCCTAAAACATCTTTGGTTACTTTGGTGCCAGAATTTTTCTTCATTTTGGCAGTGTTTGTTTGTTTTTTAGTCTCTTTCTTTTTCCTCTCCTATCTGAGTATGCATGTATGTGTGCATCTGAGTATTTTTACTGGACCTGTCTGTTATGATTCTCAGTTATCATTGATTGGTAGTCATATTTCCATTGTTGTAACAAAACACCTGAGAAAAACAACTTATAAAAAGATAATTTATTTTGGCTCACAGTTTCAGAGATTTCTGTCCATGGCCAGCTGGCTCCATTGCTTTGGACCTGAGCTGAGACTAGGAAGAATCTCACGAGGAAGAATATGGTAGAGGAAAGTTGCTCAGTTCATGGCTGCTAGGAAGCAGAAAGGGAGAGAGAAAGAGGGAGAGGGAGAGGGAGAGGGAAAGGGAGAGAGAAGAAGAAGAAGAGGAGGAGGAGGAGGAGGAGGAGGAGGAGGAGGAGGAAGGGACAACAATGATGGGGAGAGGAGGGGAGTGGAGGAGAAAGAAATGGAATTTCAGATCCTCCCATAGCATGCTCCCAGTGACCTATTTCCTCCAACTAGGTCCCACTAGTTTCCAGTAGGAATACTTGGAATTATTAATACACCAAATGGACTAATCCACATGAAGTTAGAACCTTTATATCCAATTGTTTCTTAAAAGCCCCGCCTCTGGACATCTTTCCACTGAGGACCAAGCCTTGTACACATGAATCTTTGCGGGACACTTCATTTGCCAACCATAAATTTCTACCCTGGTCCCAAGAAACTCATGCCTATCTCATAATGCAAAGTGCATTCAGTCCCAAGAATCCCCATAGCTTTAACAGTTGTACCATGTCTCAAAAGTCTAATTTCAATGTCTCCTCTGAGATTCAAGACAAAACCTTAGCTGTAAACTCTTATAAAAATAAAAATAAAAAAGTTCTATGCTTCCAACATATAATGACAGAGTAAACCTTCCCATTCCAAAAGGAAGAAATAGGGACATAGAATGAAGGGACTGGACCAAAGCAGGGAAAACATTAAATTCTCTAGGTCCACATTTAGCTTCTGAGACAATGGTAGCAAGATCTGGGCTCTTAGGGCTGCGGAAGCCCCTCCGTCTCTGTCCTTACTGGTTGTAACCCCTATGGCTCCTTCTTCTGGTTCTGCTCCTAGTCTGCAGCTTTCCTTGGGAGACATTCTACATTCTAGGGATCTTTTAATTCCTGGAATTCCATTGCATCATTTGCTTCACTCTCAAAGTTTCACACTTTGCCTTCTCAGGGTTCACCTTCAGGGATTCCAACTCTGAAACACACTATATGGCTCTCAGGCCTTCATTTGAACACTCTGTTGAAGTCTGAGAGACTCCCCTAACTCTAGCATCCTGTATTCCTGCAAAACCAGCATCATGTGGATGATAGCAAACTGTACAGCCAGCCACAGCTCTATTTTGGACCTCTTGAACTATGGCTGCAGCAGTTCTGAATGCGTACACAGCTAGTTGCGTACTGCAACTAAAAGACCTAACCAGCACAATTGTAGAGGAGGAAAAGTTTATTTTGGGTTCACAGTTTTAGAGGTCTCAATGGATAGACAGCAGGCTCCATTCCTTGGGGCTTAAGATGAGGCAGAACATCAGAGCAGAAGAGTGTAGCAGAGGGAAGCAGTTCACCATATGATCAGAAAGCAGAAATAGGTCTTCACGTGCCAGATAGAAAAGGCACACCTCTGATTCCCACCTCTTTCAGCATCTCCCTACCACTTCACTTACCTCTCAGTTAATCCCTATCAGGGGATTAATCACTGACTGAGTTAACACTCTCACAACCCAACATTTCTCCTCTGAACCTTCTTGCATTATCTCACATGTGAGATTTTGGGGGACACCTCACATCCAAACCATAACACCGGGTGAAAGGAATCCTAGGGAAGAACTTCTTAGGCACCTCTGTGCTAGTAGGGTGCCACAGGACTCTTCTTAAAGTCTTTCAACATGTTTTCATTTTTACAAACTTGAACCTGTTATGCAGGTTGGTCAATTCCTCAATGCCCTCAAGGCATCTCTCCTATTGTCACTATGAGAAGTACTTGTTTTGCTTTTAGTCATACTAAATTCTGGCCAAACTACAAAATTTTCAAAAGCTTTCTGCTCTGATATTTAGTCCTGATTTTTACTATAAAGATGGTCAAACAGATCAAAATGCTGTGTTGCACTGAAATTTCCTCCATCAGATTAATTAGTCCATCACATTTAAATTCAACTTCATACAAAGTCTAAGGACATGGAAAAGTGTACACATGTTCTTTGCCAGGATATAATACAAATGGACTCCAGTCCCGTTCCCCAAACAGTCCTCACTTCCATCTGAAACTCATGAATGTAATTTTTACTGTCTGCACTCCTATGGGCATTCTGGTCTTCTGACCTCCCACCAGAATTGTTCAATAAGCTCTGTTTAAAACATCTTAAGACTTCTGTGGCTGTCATCACCAAACCTTTCCAGATTTCTCCTGCAAATCACTTCCAAAGGCTTCTTAACCACATGGGTAGGCACAGTCACAGCAATGACTCCTCTTCTTGGTACATATTTTCTGATAGTCGACCTCTCATCACTGTGATAAATACATGAGAAAAGCAACTTTGATGAGGAAAGATTTACTTTGACTAATGATTACAGAGGTTTCAGTTCACCTTCAGTTGGCTCCATTACTTTGGGACTTTGATAAGGCAGAACCTCATGGCAGAAGGACATGGCACAGGAAATCTGCTTAGCTCAAGACATCCAGAAAGTAGAATGAGAGAGAAAGAGAGAGAGGGGGGCAAGGGAAACATAAAAAATAAAACCTACTTCCTCCATCTAGGTCCCATCTCCCAGTAATTTATTAATATTTTAATTAATCAGATGTATTAATTCACTTAGGAGGTTATAGTCCTCATGAGCCAATAATTTTCTAAAAGTCCCACCTCCCAACATTGCTCCATTGGGGACCAAGTACTAAACATATGAATCCGGGGAAGGAAATTCTTCAAATCCAAACCATTACAGTGCTCTTTTCCTGAAAGTTCATTATTTAACTGGTTGTACTGTCATCTAGTTATTCTGTCATTTCAATATTTTTGGAAAGTACCAGTATTACTTTCTTCTTGATCATAGAACCAATTGTGGTTTTTCTATGTTGACTTGGCAGTGATCTTGCTCTGCCTTGATGAGGGCTCATGAAGATGCTACATCACCTTCTAGAAACATTATATTTAAGATTTATGACTTGAATGGGTGTGAATAATAGTCAATAGAATGTGTGGTTCTAAATTCATCTTTAATGAACCAATGTTTCTGAGCTGCCTGGTTCTATTTTATATTGAATTATATGCTTTTTAAAAATGGCTCCAAAATCTACTTAAAGACATTTGGAGATGATCATACATGTTTCTTCATGACTCCAAATGCAGTAGTGAATACTCACTAGCTGTTTTTTTTTATTTGTTTATTTTAATCTCTGTCATTTAATTATAACCTGGGCTTAGGTTGTGGCTCAGTGGTAGAATGATTGCCTAGCAAGTGTAAGGCACGGAGTTCAATTCTCAGCATCATAAGTAAATAAATAAATAAAATAAAAGTCCCCCACAACTAACAATCTATTTTAAAAATAAAATAAATCTAACCAAGCATGTATGAGTCTGGAGAGTCCAGTGGAGATGAATTTGAGAGTCAGACTTCAGGCTCTCTTCAGATGATTGTGCCAAAAGAAGCTGAGGTGGCAGTTCAGGTATAACCTACTAGTCATATTCTCAAGAATGCTGCTCCATATTTGGAATATGGCAGCATGTGAGATGATCATTTGCACCTCCAAATTTAGTAGGCAGAGAAGCAGTATTACTGACATGCACAGGGAAGTTTCAGCAGTCCCTAAGTGAACTCAAAGATCACACTGTACCCAGGCCTTTAATACTTTTTTTCTGAACCTAGTTTTAGTAGAAGTACTGGTAAATACCAGAGCATATTGATAGCTGTTAGAGTTTCATGATTTATGAAACGCACACATGTATGGCTGGCAGAAAGAATATTGTTGAAAGTCTGCATGAATGAATAGGATGAAAGAAATTACAAACATGTGAGGTGAGAAGACAGCAAGAACAGAGAAGAGGAGGGAGAAGTTGTAAGATTCTGTCTTCCCTAGCCTCGTTTCCATCACCCTCTGGAAATGAGCCCTCTTTACATTACAAGACCATTAGGCTGAGTTCTTGGGGTGTTTTCTTTTATAGGTTATTCCTGTGAGCCCCACAATAACCCTGCTGACTTATTCCTGGATGTCATTTATGGAAATTCCTCTTCTGTGGTATTAAACAGAGAGGAAGAAGACCATGAAGATATGTGAATCTTTTAGATTCACAGATATTTGCCTAATCGGTTTGAACAAAGCTTAGTAATGTGGTGGCTCATTAAAACTTAGCTTTGTGAATTCACGTGAATGCCATGTTCTGATGCCAGCCAATAGATAGACTTTATTGTCAATGAGTGCTGTGTTTTATATTCTATTTATGAATGAGCATTTATATGATGCTGTTATTGTAAGAGGAAAATTCACTAAAAATAAATTTACTCATTATTTATTGTATTTTTTTTGAGAGAGAGAGAGAGAGTATTTTTAATATTTATTTTTTTAGCTTTCAGTGGACACAACATCTTTGTATGTGGTGCTGAGAATCGAACCCGGGCTGTACGCATGCCAGGCGAGCATGCTACCTCTTGAGCCACATCCCCAGCCCTATTTATTGTAGTTTTAAAATAAAAAATTTGGTACTTTATGTATTTTCTCCTAGTAGAAAGCAAGGACAAGGTTTTATACTAAGAAATATAACTCTTTGTGGTAAGAAGTCTATTTCAAGAACAAATTGTTAGGGAAAGGTCAAGTGAGTTTTCTCTCTCCATATGATCATGGCAGAAGTCTGGCCAATTAGCTCTGTTTACTAATGTTTACATCAGTGACAACACTTGAGACAGCTTTAGAATAAAACTGTTATCTCATAAATGAGTCACAGAAAATAGGGTTAAGTCAGTTCTTGTCTGCTAGTAATATTTGCTTTCTTTATCTATTTTTTTCTAAAGTCAGCCACAATGAAGAACTTCCTAAGAGAGAAAAAACAGTCACAAAAACATTAGCTGAGTTTTATTCTCACTCCTCCTTGTACAAAGACACAAAAGCTGAATTAGAAGAACCCTCAGGTGGTCTTAAGAAGAGGAGCCCAGCCTTCATGGAAACCACCTATGTCACTCCTTCTGTCACCAACTCAGATGGATTTCCTGGCATTCATTCAAAAATGTGCTGCCTAATTACAGGACCTCTATATAGAGGGTAATCTGAAAGATTCTTTTCATTTTTCTGTGAGATTCTTATGTGGGAGCAATTGGGTTCTGATATAGTCTACTTAAGAATTATGAGTATTTTCTTTTCTTTTTCTTATTTCTAATGTAAGAATTTTCACTTGAAGCTTCTTAAAGTATAAAACAGTTGCCTAATATGTTGGTACATGCCTGTATTCCCAGCTACTCAGGAGGCTAAGGTAGGAGGATCACAAGTTAGAGACAAACCTGGGCAATGTAGCAAGACCCTATGCAAAAAAAAAGTGCTGGGGATGTGGCTCAGTATGAGCATATTTGCCTTGCATATGTAAGACCCTGGTTGCACTCCTGATTATGGGAAATGGGCAGGTAGAAAATGTGCATGTTTCCTGGCAGAAGAGTTGAGAGCTCAGTTGAAGTCATCCCTCTTAGCTGCGTGGACTTTTAATTTGTTCCCAGATCAACTTTGCCAGTTGCCTGCATTGCTTTGCTACTATGTTGTAGGACATTCATAGGTCCCGCTCCTGAACTGGGCCCTGAACTGGGAACACTTGGTAGACACTGAGAGGAGTATTGGCCATTCCAATCATCTGCTCTGTTATTCTCTCAATTCAACAAAAACAGGTTAGTGTTCAACTTAATTTAGAAAGTAGTGTAATAGTGTGCACTGTATTTTGATGCTCTCAGACTTTGGCCAAGCCATTTAAATTATTTATCTCAGCGGTGAAATCTGATAATGAAGCTGTATATTTTATCATAAATGGTGTACATTTTTCACCTCCAACTAAAACTATTTCCATTATCTTTTTCATTTTCCTTTTTAAAAAGATCATTACCACAATCATAGGTTGACTGGTTACGAGTGCTCTTCTCCTTCACTTAAAAAATGATTGCACCGAAATCCAGATTACATTAGTAAATTTGAATCAATGCTATTATTTTTTTCAAGCTTGGAAAAATCCATTTCATTTTTTTTTTGAGTATGAGTATTGGGTAAACATTATATTCATTGTGGGTAGGATGTGTTCATGCTTTGAAAAATGAATGGAAAAATTAATTTTATTTTTCATATATACTTGTATATATTTATTGTTGAACTGTATATATCATAAATTTTACCCTTTTAACCCTTTTTGAATGTACAGTTACTGTTCACTGCATCAAGTACCTGCTCATTGTGCAACTATAGCCAACATCCAACCCAGAATGATTTTTTTTTTTAATTTTTTGTCTTCCCACACAGAATCTCTATACCCTACACAGGGAGGACCTCATGGGGTCATTCTTCCTCTCTCTTTTAACCAGAATAGTAATTCTTTCCCTTCTTTCATTTTTATGAAAAAACAACAACTATGGTTCTTTTGTTTATGTTCTGTCCTGGCAGGACCTGGACACTCTGTCTGCTAATTTCAGTGTTTACCCAACCTGTCAGCAAAGGAGACCTTTGCACTTGAGAAGAAGCTCTTTATGTGAGTAGATCTCTATTTTAGGAAGGAGCTTGATGTCTGTTGACTAAATTGGTGATATCCATAATTGGACCAAGGATCTGATTGGGAGAATATCAGTATTTTTCTTTTCTTTCATATGTTGATTTGTTTAAAGGACCAATACAAATCATATATACCTATCATGTACAATATGAGCTTTCAAAGTATGTGCAGAGATAACCAGTATTAACTGAAAAAAAAATGAACAGGGTAGAAAGTCAAGTGTATGGGGCCTCCTGCAAAAGGAAGAGTGAGTTTTGGGGTGAGGTGTAGTCAGCAAATTCAAGTGCTGCAGAGAAAGCAAGTAATAAAGGAGCTGAAATTATCTTTTTGTTTCTAGCAAATAACAAATCAAAATGACTCTGGCAAGAACATTTTGAGGAGCTAGGTAGAATTGTAGTGGTGGGTTAATCAGCAAATTAGCAGTAGTAGATAAAGTTGACAAAGAATTGAAGGTGTGCAGCCTTCAGTGGATTTAAGAATGGAATGAATCAAAGAAAAAGAAGAAAAGGTTCAGTTTTTCTCTTGAGATTTTCAAATATAAAGGAGATTTGCCCGTGCTTACATATGCATCAAGGATAGCAATCATCAGAGAGGGAAGGGATGAAGATACTGGTGGAAGAGTTTGAAAATACAGGAAATCCATGTGAAGAAGAGGAAAGATGAGGATTTAGTATCTGAAAGGGGGTATTGTTGAAAGACATTATCATTGAAGGAAGAAGTCTTTTTTCTTCTTTTTATATCATGAGAGGAGCAAAAGTAAAAGGAGAGGGATGGGATTGTAGCTCTGTGCTAGAGCACTCTCCTAGAACATGCAAGGCCCTGGCTTTGAACCTCAGAGCCACATAAAAATGAATAAATAAAATAAAGGTATTGTGTCCAGCTACAACTAAAAAATTAAAATTAAAAATAAATAAAGTAAAAGGAGTTTAGGAAACTGCACCTGCATGTAGGGCCTTGGAGAATAATAAAGCCACTTTTGTCACTATCATAAGTGAGGAGAAGAAAAGCCTCTGTTTTCACTGAGATTAGCCCCTGACATTTTGCGCTTCAAGCAGAGCCCAGCTCAGAGGAGAAATATAGCCTCTGAGGAAAGTGAGGAGATGCAGACTCTGTCCCTGGAGGGGTGATGTGGGCCAGAGTGGGCAGCACAGGAGGAATGCTGTCATGAGAGGATCCCGGCAAGAGCCTTGGGGGGCTGATGCCGCAGGAAGGCTACACCTGAAGTGGAGAATGACGTGGGGGTGGGGGTCAGCCTATAACCCTTGGACATCTGCAGTGTCAGACCTGGTGGCAGCAGGAGTCTGCACAGCAGAGTCTCCCCTGGGCTGTGCCTTCCTGGACTAATCTGGGATGTATGGTATGTGTTTTTGTTCTGCAGACAAGAGTACATCAGTGGATACTACAGAGTGTCTTCTTACTTCTTTGGAAAACTGTTATCTGATTTTCTACCCAGGAGTTTGTTAACAATCATTCTATTTACTTGTACAGTTTACTTCATGTTAGGTAAGTAACAAGACAAAGAGGATGTGCTCATAGTCTTACAAATGAAAGGAAACCAATTTCTCTTTGTAAACATATTTATGGTTTCCAAAACGAAAGATCAAGTCATAAGCCAGGAGAGCAAGTACTCATTCCTCACTTTCTAAAATGGTAGTTCAGTTGTCAGTACTGTTCTACACAAATTATTTTATTTTTATTTGTTTACTTGTGTGTGTGTGTGTGTGTACAGTACTGAGGATTGAACCTGGAGCCACTCACATGCTATACAAGTGGTCTACCATTGAGTTACATCTCCAGCCCTTTTTTACACTTCTATTTTGAGATAGGGTTTTGCTAATTTGCTCAGGCTTGCCTTAAGCTTGGATTCCTCTTTTCTCGGTCAACCCAATTCCTGGGATAAGAGGTGTATGGCACTGTACTGGACTCAACTGAACTTTCGAAGCTATAAATACATTTTATGTCAGTAAAATGCTATGATTTATAAAATAAAAACATGGAAAGAATCCCTTCATATTTGAGACTATGCTGGAGATAATGGAATATTTATTGCTTTTCAGTTTTTCTCTGTGTCTCTGTACATATACCTCTACATAAAGATAAAATATAAATGGAAAAACTATAAATAGATATTTGATATACAAAGAGAGAGCTAAGAAATCAACATACACACACACATACACATATGCGCACACACACACATACATATATTTATTATCCCTCTCCTTTTTCCTATTTAAAGAAAGATGATGACTTTTGGGTTCAGGGATTTAACAGGAATACTTGTTTAATGGCCATAGACACATTCATTCATGCATTATGCTCAGACTTCTTCCCAGGCTCATTCTGTAAGAATGTAAATGTATTTCTTTCTCTCTCTCATGCACTCACATGCACACATACACACATCACAGAAATATCTATTTTTGACAATACACTGCAGAGTAAGAACCACTGAGAAAGTGTAAACCTTCCAGTTTAGAAATAAAAATTGTTTCGTAAATAATTAATTATGTAATCTAACCCCTCCCCCACAGTCCTGATTGGTGTTTCTGCAGCAATTGCAACATTGTAAGACTGATGGTGAGCATTAACTCAGTAGAATTCATAAGGTGGTTGAAGAAACTTCATTTGGCTCCAATCTGAATCAGAGTAATAGGATTTGTCTAGGGGGATTCAGGGTATGGATTCTTTCTCTTTCCTCCCCATATATTAAAACCATTGTGAGAAAAAAATATATAGAATTATGATCCTAGGTTTTTGTTTCTGACAAATGTCATTATAACAGACAGTGAGTAATGTAGAGATGTCTGGATGCATGGATGTGCTATTGATGAGTTTCCATTAATAGGAGAAGGCAGTATAATTTGGCTAGTTATGTTGCCTGTGTCCACCTCACCAATTCTAAATTGGTCAAAATTACACATAGGGAAACATCAGTGTTATATGGGAAAATGCTTTGGTAGAAAGTGTAATAAATCTATATGGTAATGTTATATAGTGGTGAACAATGCAATTAATGTCCCTGGGTATTTCGGTCTTGGATGACAACTTTTCATCTTGATATTATTTTTTTTCAGAGTATTATACTGTCATTTGTGCACGCTCGTATACACACATACACACACACACACAAAAAAAAAAAAAGTGTCAAATACATGGGAACCTAGGCAGGTAGACTGACCCTTTCTTTTCTTTCAAAGGATTGAAACCAGGGGTGAAGGCTTTCTTCATAACAATGCTTACCATTTTGATGGTGGCTTATTCAACTGGTTCCCTGATCCTTGCTATTGGAGTTCACAGTATTTTTTTCCCAGCAGCAATTCTGGGACTATACTTTCTATTGATGATGGTGAGTGTGAACTGTGATTGTCTGAGAGGAAATTTTTCCCCTTGTTCCTTCCTGCTCTTTCACCTGTCCTGTAAAACCTGCTTTGAGGATTCTGTGCATAGACCTAAGATGGTTTCAGGAGGCCATGGACTAAGATCCTGTTTATATTAGAGAATGTACCACTTTCCTCCTGGCACTTGTCTTGTTGTTTTTTTCCTGGTGCTTAATGTGAACTATGTTAAACTTAATTAACATGTCCTTACTAGCAGCTTTTAAATGAACATCTTGGTGACATTATAAAACCTTGATATATTAGAAATTCAAACACCAGAAAAAAAATGATTAGGCACTTCCTTCATAAAAATAAGCTATTTGTCTGCCTTTCATGCTGGTATTGAGAACTGCCAGCTAGTTAAGAGCAGAGGTTGTTCAGTTGGGTTCATTACTCTCCAAGGTCAAAGTTAAGTTCCATGAGAAGATAACAGAGTTGTGCCACATGGGGAGTCTAACTTGAATGACTTTTGCATTTTGCAAAGGAGTATTTTAAAAACACTGGAAATCCCAAACTCATAGTACAAGGTCACCCTATTAATGGATCCTTGATGCTTTTTATATAAATATTTTTCTTCTTACTTTTGCTTTTAGTGATTCCTTAGTTTTAATCTTTTATGCCTTAAATTTTGCACTCACAATGATGAATCAGCAGATAACAAGTTACCAATCTTTGCCACACAATGGCAACAAATAGGAGTGGTTATCCTATTAATACACACGTCCTTTCTTCTACAGTAGGAGGAGTTGACTTTCAAAGATACATGATTAGCATAAGCTATTGCCAAAGTTTTATTCTTTCATGTATACATTTGGCAAAAACCAATGTATATCACTGAGAAAGCAATGTCTTGTTTATAGTTTCTACATTGTCATAAAATAAAATAAAATATATGATTAATTATTATGTAAGGTTTTCTATGTAGAAAATTAAAAATCAGTCCCAGGATCACATTTTACTCGGAGATGCTGACTTATATACTAAGCAGTTGGTTAGGTCCAGTTTTAACACATGCAAACAAAACCACAACATTGTCATTGTTCCGAATATCCCAGGGTACCTTATGCCAGTTAGGACAAGCATTATGTGCACCTCACAGCTGTCTCTTGTGTGTCTCTGGCAGTCTTTCCTGGCATCTTCATTGCCACACTGCTTCCTGGTAACTTTAAATGGAGGGATTGACCATGGTTCCTGCTGTATTTCACTACACTATGTTGTTCATCAGTTCTAGGGTTTGGGTTATCTAAAGCCTCCTTTCTGAGCTCCAGATGATTCCTAATGTAATGGATATAGAGTGTCGACCCTTGTGAATAACAAATTACATGTTGTATGAAAGTAGAAAGGGTCATGTGATGCTTAGGATTGTTCTTAAACTGTTAGGTTCCTTACTGGAGACATATGATGTAGTATAATTTGAATAGTCAGTAAAATCAGTTCTTCATGTCCATGGGATCCACATTCAAAGATCCAACCAACTGCAGATTAAAACTATGCAAAGCAAAAATTATGTCTACAATGAATATGTGTGCTTATTTCTTTGTCATTTTGCTCTATTTGTATGAACTATTTGCATAGTATTTATGTTGTATTAGGCATCAAGAAATATTAAAATGATTTTTAAAACACACTATGTTTTCATTTATGCATAAAGAATGTATGTGGGTTACATGAAAATATTATGCCATTTTAAAAATAAGGGACTTGAGCATCTGCAGATTTTTGGTATCTGTGGACTAGATATCCTGGAACCAATACCCTTGGGCTACCAAAGGATAACTGTATTTCTTGGTATTATTTTATGTGCAGTTACTGAGAAATTAGAGGACTTAGTCTTGATAATTACAAATCTTCCAAATAAGTAGAAAGTATAATATAGATTATATTTCCTGAATATTCCAAATAAATAAATGTATAATATAGACTATAGGTATATTGTCCTTACCCTTACTTTAACACATAAACTATCTTAGCTGTGTGGAGGTATAGATATGCAAGGGATGAAGGATAAAGTTTACTGTCTAGAATAAGTTGAAGAAATTTTAAGAAAGAGTTGGTCCTAGCAGAAGTGTATAGAAAGTTCTAGAGTTCTTGGAGAGCCTTATCTAGAATTTCTAGTAAAATCACTGGACTTGTTCTGTTTCATGTTTTTTTTTTTTTTTTTTTTTTTTAATTTTTTATTGTTGGCTGTTCAAAACATTACATAGTTCTTGATATATCATATTTCACAATTTGATTCAAGTGGGTTATGAGCTCCCATTTTTACCCCATATAGAGATTGCAGAATCACATCAGTTACACATCCATTGATTTACATATTGCCATACTAGTGTCTGTTGTATTCTGCTGCCTTTCCTATCCTCGACTATCCCCCCTCCCCTCCCCTCCCCTCCCCTCCCCTCCCCTCCCCTCTTCTCTCTCTGCCCCCTCTACTGACATTCGTTTGTCCCCCTTATATTATTTTTCCCCTTCCCCTCACTTCCTCTTGTATGTACTTTTGTATAACTCTGAGGGTCTCCTTCCATTTCCATGCATTTTCCCTTCTCTCTCCCTTTCCCTCCCACCTCTCATCCCTGTTTAATGTTAATCTTCTTCTCATGCTCTTCGACCCTACTCTGTTCTTAGTTACTCTCCTTATATCAAAGAAGACATTTGGCATTTGTTTTTTAGGGATTGGCTAGCTTCACTTAGCATAATCTGCTCTAATGCCATCCATTTCCCTGTAAATTCTATGATTTTGTCATTTTTTAATGCAGAGTAATATTCCATTGTGTATAAATGCCACATTTTTTTTTATCCATTCATCCATTGAAGGGCATCTAGGTTGGTTCCACAGTCTAGCTATTGTGAATTGTGCTGCTATGAACATCGATGTAGCAGTGTCCCTGTAGCATGCTCTTTTTAGGTCTTTAGGGAATAGACCGAGAAGGGGAATAGCTGGGTCAAATGGTGGCTCCATTCCCAGCTTTCCAAGAAATCTCCATACTGCTTTCCAAATTGGCTGCACCAGATCTACATACTGTGGGGTCGGGCTCCAAATTCCTCAATAGGACACCCATTGCTTTTTTTTTTTAGATTTTGATAAGTTTTTCACTGGATTTTGGAAACTTTGCCCCTTGGCTGTCATGGATTCAGTACTTAAGTATCCCTCACTATGGTTATATGGTAAGTTGTCCTCATCTGTCATAGGAAATGTATTCCCAAGCTGGATGCAACAAAAACAATGCCTATCCATATTGCTTTGACCATGACCAGTGAAGGAGTCCTATCCAGGAGTTACCTTTCATGGCTGAGAATCTCCTATTAGCCTCAGTTAGTACAAACTCCAGGAGTCCCATGGTATTTTCCCCAATCACCTCATTGTTTGAGGAAGATGAAGGTTGTAGAGAAATTAGGGAAAGTAGAAGAGGAAAAAATAAGACCATAATACACTCTTAACTGTATTGGCTTTAGCAAGCCAATCAACTCCAAAGTGACTGTCCATCCATGTATAACCAAATTTCTAACTCACATAATTACAACTAGTTTTGAGGAAAACATAATTATCATAAATCAACATTACCTTTGATCACCACTGTATTATTGCAGTTGTAGTGTTTATGGGACTATAAAATTGGGAAGAGATGAAGGAATGACTTCTCAGCCAATGGGAAGCAACATCCCAAGTTTAGGCCTCTTGATTTCCAGGGAAAATAAGGTATTTTGTGGGAAAAAGACTGTGAATATGAGGCTTTGGCATGTTGTAAATAAAAAATTAAGATTAGAATTCACATCATCAGGATAATTTCTGGGAAACTCTTGGAATCCAGGTCTGTTTCACTTCTGTTCCCCCTTGTTATAGGCTTTGCAGTATAATGAATTTTGGGGACAAAACTTCTGTCCAGGACTCAATACAACAAAAAGCAGTGGCTGTTCCACCTATGTGATGTAAGTTTGTGTTCAAAGTCACAAAGGGTTTGATTACTCCTATGATGTGATTAAGAAAGGCCCCAAGGCTTAAAGCTGATTTGAGTCCTTTTAAGGCTAACAAAACTTCCTGATTCTAAGTTTTATCACTTGTAATATGAGTCCTTGTACAGTAATATATATGAACACCAATACAATTCCTGTATTGAACATAAAATTGTGTTTAAGTTTAATGTGGAGACATATTTGTTTTGAGCCTTTTGAAAGATTGTTTTGATGTTTTAGTTGTGGGATTAGTTCTTATTTTTTCAGAACTATTGATTTTGAACTTAATTGCTTTGACAGTTTAGTGAAGGATCATAGTCTCTGATCACTTGAATTCTATGCTACCAGTGAGCCCATCTCTTGGATATTAGTAATAGCTCAAAGAGCAGCAGTAGCATAAAAGTGGTTAACGTTGCTTTGCTGAGATCCTGGCCTTTCTCTTTGTTCACACTTATGGGAAATCAAAGCCTGCATAGTTGTGTGTGTGTTTGTGTGTGTATATGTCTATACATTGACTCAGCATACTCCTTATCAAAGGCTATATCCTCTAGAGAAAGAAATACATATTTCAGTTAGTTGACAAGAAAATCTATTTTTGCATAATCTCATTAAAACCGAAGTGCATATTTCAATTAATTTAGAAGATCTCATTTTTAATTTTTAATACTACTTTTGTTTTCTATGATTGCTGTTATCTTTGACTTTAACAGATAAATTATGAAGGGAAAAGAGAATCTGGCATGCTCAATCTCTCCTAGATTTTTCAAATGTATAGAATTAAGTCTTTGTAAAAACACAAACCCTATTGTTAATGATTGATAAAGCCTCGAATAAGAGTTTTCCTTAACCACTCTTTTTGTTTTGATCTGGGCATAGTCTTTGTGACAAAAAGTTAGTGCCAGGCTATTAGTCAGGATGAAATGGACGGGAAACATTAGACCACATAAGGAGAAGCTACCACAGGCTTCATGCTCACAGAAGTCTCCTTCACATAAGAGAAAATAAGAAGCTCTTCTAATTGCACAGAGAGGTTAAGGATATTTTTGAAATGGCTGAATTCCAAGAGATGCACAAGAATGGCAGCAGGCAATAATTGTGACTGCACAAGGTGTTTTTTATTAAGAGCCACTTTTCTACCTTGTGGCAGGAATGCTCCATCGTGCTGTGTTCCAGCTGCTACCTAAGTCTGATTCCTGGGTATCTTTCTGTGGTGGAGTGTCTGTGATGATTATTACCATCATGGTGCAAGAGCTGACAGATCCTGACTGCCTAGAAGCATTTGTTTTCTCTATTTGTACTTGTAGAATTCTTGCTTGTGTTTTTTGGATATCTATTCTGTGGGTGAGCCAAACCAGAAGGAACTTTTGATGCTCTCAGTAAGGTCTATAGGTGTCATCAGTTAAAACTGAGCTTTTACCCACTAGGAGTGGTGAAAAGTTCCTCCATCAATACTTCCTTTGAGAAGAGTAGCATTATAAATTTGAAATGGAATGAATCTGAGGAGACTAGAACTTGGTTCACTGTGTGACTCTGAAAACTTGGCCAACTTCATTAATCCTTATTAATGAATCCTCCTCTTTGAAATGTGTGTAATGCCTATACCCCCTTGGGTTATTTTAGGAATTCCCTAACTTACTAGGTGCAAGGTGCTTAGCACAGTATCTAGAAAAAAATTTAAGCACTCCATGATAGGTATTATATATGAAGTGATGATTTCATATGATTTGGTTACTTATTGGCTTCTAAGAAAGAAATAGTGAATATATTGAGTAAACCTTGACAGATGCTACAAATGTAATCAGAAATTTTGTGTTGAATTTTAGATGTACTGGTGAAGAATACTTGACAGTCCAAGGCATTGATCCATCTCCATGGAGCTTGTGGAAGAATCACCTGGCTTTGGCTTGTATAACTACTATCCTTCTTGCAATTACCTACCCAAAATTGTTACTTCTTAAAAATAGATTCCTAAACTCCCTTTAATTTACCATGAATTACCCTAATATTAAAAAGGAACACTGTAATTTATTTCACCAATGCAGATATTTTTGCCTTTGCTCAGTTGCCTGCATACTGTTTTTCAGAAAAAAATATTTTTAATAGAAACTATTCACAAAAATCACAACAAACTGAATTACACATGAAAGAACCCAAGCCAAAACAACTGACCTGTTATATTAGCTCATCTCATCAAACAGTAAAGAAGTCCAGTCTAATTTATTGATCTGAAAAGGAGAATTAAATTAAATTAGAAAGTTAATAATGTCTCTAGTATGAGTTTTCTCACCTTCAAAATGCATGGGAGGTGAGTAGACCTCTAGTTTTAATAGACGATGAGTCCATGATCTGCCATTCTGTAATAAATAACATATATATATATATATATATATATATATATATATATATATATATATATATATATATATATATTAATGCTGTATTAAACTATGAAATCTAAAGTGTGTTTAATAACCTGTGTTATTTCTAGGGGACAAAAATCTATGATGATATAAAAAAAACATTTTGATGAGGTTATTGATGTTGTTGGAACTTAGTTATACTTCTCTAGTGAAATTGTAAAATCTCAGGAGTCTCAGCTGGGGGCTTTGGGTCTGAATACAGAGCCAAAGGTATGAGGATGTAACTCCTGTGCCAATTCTGAGACACTCTACTCAGAAGTCACTTTACTTCCCTGGTTGAGTCAGTGGTATATGCATCAGATTCTCCTGAGTGCTCTGTTAAGACACAGATGCCTGACCCTGCTTTTCCCACCACAGCAATACATGAAGAGCCAACTCCCTGAAACACACCAGGGCTGGATTTGGTAATTTCCAAGGTCCTTTCAGCTCAGAAAACTTTAGAATTATGATTCAATGACTGTTATATCTGGGCCTACACAGGATTCCCCTATATACCTCATTGATTTCCACATACTATCTTCATTCTACCAATAATGTCATATTCTTTTTACTATGTGAACCTCAAGGCCAATGAATTTTGGGGGTTTTGACTACAATTCCAGCTTTTTATATAACTATGTTTTACTAAGTACAGACATCCTTATTATGCAGAGAAATGCATATGTATACCTTGTGCTCAAAATATACCTGCCAGAAGAAAGAGAACAGTCAAAATTACTAACATATACATTTTAATGAGAATTTAATAGCATCTACAAATAAATTATTATGTTTATCACCCTTTTGCATTATGATTGACTTTTTGTATAGTGTTTCATTGTGATAAGAAACATATAAAATAAAATTTATTATCTCTATATTTTAATTAAGGTGCATTTTTAAATTATGAATTTATTTTTCTATAAAGTAGAAAGAAAAATGTTAGTTTTAGATATTTAAGAATATGACTATAATCTTTATAAAATGTTTTTTTGTTCTTGGATGTCATAATTAATCTATAATGGACAGGACCAATTAATTTGGTTTAAACTAAAAGGAACCACAGAAATAAATGAATTTCTGTTTCTATTTATACTCCAGTTACTTTTTCAAACAGTCAACCAAGATTATAAAAAGCCTGTGGCTATGGAAGGCTACTTGGTAAGTTGGGAAGGGAGGAAAAAAGGGGAGAAAAAGTGAGTAGTTTGGAGAGGGATGTTAAAGAAGAATATATTCTTCTTCTCCTGCCTTTGAAGTCATCCTATATATATTTAGATTTGAATTTTATTAACATCCATAGCAAACAGACATTTGAAAAGTGGGATTACTCATTTATGAAATGTTTTTCACTATTCCAGTGCTTGCTTAGTAGGTGTTAGAAGAGAATCTTCAAGGTGGCAGGAATGGAGCTCTCAAATGGTCCTACAATAGCTGGGGCTGTCACAAAGGTTGAGGAACTGACAGCACTGCTGGTGCTAGAGTTGTCAGCAGCAGGAGCTGATGCTGGGCTCTTGGTATGTTTATGACATTGTAGGAGAGCAGATGAGTCAGCAAATGGGTGTCAAGATGATAGTGTGCAATAGTTGAGTGATCGTCCCTAACGTGAGTGGGGACCATGTCTTGGGCTTTAGGTCCTAATACAGGCATTAACTTTGCAGAAATGTTTTTGTATTATCTGTTTTTGCCCTTTCATGGCAAAGTAGTTATGACAAAGACCATTGGCACCAACAAAGCCTAAGTATTTACTATCTGTTACAGTAATTTTTTTTTTTTTTTTTTTTTTTTTTTTTTTGCTGCTGTGACTAAAGGATTTGACCAGAACAATTGTGGAGGAGAAAAAGTTTATTTGAGGGCTCACAATTTCAGAGCTCTTAGTCCATAGAAGGCTGGCTCCACCCCTCAGGGCTCGACCTAAGCCTGAACATCATGATGCGAAAGGATAGAGAAGGAAGGCAGCTCACATCACAGTGACCAGGAGGCAGAGAAAAAGACTCTACTCACAAGAAACAAATATATACCCAAAACCACACCCCAATTCCCACCTCCTCCAGCCACATTCCTACCACTTCAGTTACCACTCAGTTTATCCCTATCATTGGATTAAATTACCGATTGGCTTAAGACTCTTACAACCCAATCATTTCTCCTCTGAAACTTCTTGCATTGTCTCAAATGTGAGCTTGGTTTGCGGGGGGGGGGGGGACACCTCTCATACAAAACATAACACTATCTATTTCTTTATATAATTTTGCAAACATCTACATTAAACCAACAGAGCTTGCAGTATGCTTATATTTAACTACAAGACTGACTAGGATTAATAATAAAATTTATATTCATAGCATTAATTCATTCAAATACATCTTTTAGCCAGGCATGGGGTGCAAAACTGTAATCAACCTAACTGAAAAAAAAACAGGCAATGAACAAAACATACTCGTTTCCCATTAAGTCAAAATATAAAATTTTAAAGGTTTGATCGCAAATATACAGAAAGGGAAACTCAATTATGTAACAACTCTAGAGTACATATTCAATGTTACCAGGAATCATGGAAAAAGGGGGCTCAATCTCAACTCATTCTATCAGGAAGTAGATGGTACCAGAGCTGGTGAGGTTATGGCTTAAACTGGAGTCCTAGTGCACATAATTAGATTATCCTGGGCAGTCATTCTGGTGGGCAGCCTGATAGTCCTGGGTAAAATATTTATTCACTTCACTCTTACCACTCCAACCCTTATCATACATCCAGAGAGGAACACATGAAAAGTTAACAAGGGAATTATGTTCATGCAAAGATTTTGAAATGATGGTAATAGAACCAAACATTCACTATAGGAATGCATAAGTAAAATATGGTGGGTTCATACTAGCAAATACTACACAAATATCAGAACAACTTACTTGATTTACATAATACAGAAGAAATATACTGTAAAAATTAAGACATGTATACCACATTAGTAATGTATAAGGAAAGACAAGATCCTGTATTATAGTATAAATTCACTTACTTATACTAGTAAAAGCTCATTAATTATAACACATGAACAAAACATTTTTCTACATATCCAAAATCATCAGAAGGGCCCATTTTGGGAGAAATGACAGTAGTGGAACAGTATACAATTGGAGATAAATATATATCTTAGCGGTGCATAAGATAAAATGGCTAAAATATTTATTGGGGTTGATATAAGAAACACATGACACAACATCCAACAAAAATCTAAATCATTAGCCAGGCATGGGGTGCACAACTGTAATCACAGTTACTGGGAAGACAAGCAAGAGGATTACAATTTCCAGGGCCACCTGGGAAACCTATCTTAAACCTGTATTAAAAAAAGGCTGAGGATGAATTCAATGGTAGAGCACTTTCCTAGACTAAATGAGGGTTCAACATCTAGTAGAGAATTTTTTTTGTTAATGCACAGGATGCATTTTACTAGAAATCTTAGAGGTAGAAAACAGAGTAACTGAACAAGAAATTGTATAGTATACTTAAAGACTTTGGACAAATTTGCTTGATCATATGCAAATAAACTATCAAGATAAAACAGGTCATTTACCATGGCTTTACTAAAAATATTTTTAGTTGGGACTCAAATTGAGACATGGAAATTTGCTTTTCAAACCTTTATAATTGTATACTTTGATCTAGTGGAAAACAAATGTGTTTTCTTCAGGTACAGAAGAGCCATTAGAACATGTTATTTCATATGTCTTTCTAAATTATATTTTTCTAAAAAAGTCTGAACTCAGATAATAGACAAAAATAACAACTTTATTTGCAGTTGAACATTCTATTCTGCAGTATGCTTATATTTAACTACAAGACTCACTAAGATTAATAGTAAAATTTATATTCATAGCATTAATTCATTCACTACATCTCTTTAGAGTTGAAGTTCATAGGCATTAGATTTTCTGGGAACACTTACTGCCTCCAATGGTTAATGTACATTGCATTTCTCCAAGCTTTTTTAGTTTTCTAAACCACTTGAGAGCTTGTAAGTGTAACTTACAAAGGGTACATAGCTTATTTTTGATAACAATTCTTAACCATAATCCTTTAATTTTCTGGGTAACTTACTGAGTCACAATCATTATGGCATTTGTTGGTTCATAGTGAAAAGTGGCATATATTCCCTTTTTTCATCCTCTGAATGCATACAGCACAAGTGGCTAATACCAATATTTCAATGAAATGCCCTTGTCTTTGTAGTGCTAATATTATGTAATAAAATTCTATTAGTCACCTTAATTACATCTTGGGTGTATCTGGGCCCCAATAATATTAATATATCCTTTAGTTAGTACAAGAACCAGCAGTTGAGCTGGGAATGAAGCTTAGTTGTAGAGTATTTACACAGGATGCTCAAGGACCTGGGTTAAATCCCTAGAATAATTAAAAAAATCAGTTCATAAAAGAAAAAAACTATAGATGATTCATATAACAATCCTTTAGGAATTGCAAAATGGATGCCATTTTGACTTATTACACTGGCAAAATACATTCTGTTTTAATCAGAGGATTTGCTTTCCTTCTAGAGACCAATTGAGATGCACCAAGTCCTGTCC